CAACAAAAAAGAGAAAAAGATCTCTTTAAATAGAAGTAACGAATTATGAATATGATTAGATGTTGTCATGGCAACTAAATTGATTGAAGATATCATAGTTGACTAATGATTTGACAATCTAATAAATAAATAAATAAAAAGATTGAAGTAAAACAAATAACAAAACAACAACAAAAGTAAGGAACAAATATGCACACAAATAGTCGAATATAAGATAAGTAGGTATAAGGGTAGTATGCATAAGTGAAACATAACAACCACAGCGATAATAAAATGAAAACTAAACAAAAGCTGGAAAACGTTATATCACATATAACAACAACAACAACAACAACAACGACATCGACAACAACAACAACAGGAACAGGAACAACACCGAAGCAATCGCTTTTCTTTATGTATAAAAAAAAATAATAAAAACAAACAAACAAACAACCCCACAAGGAGTTTAGTTAGTTACTTTCGTGAAAGGCCACTTACAGCTTGCATCTAGAAAAATGATAAATAAAAAATGTAAATGAAGAAATGTGAGGGATATTTATTTATTTGTGGGTTGATTAGATAATTATTGGTTAGTTGTATGAGGTGATAGAGGGAGAGGATTGGCGGAAACAGAGTAAAATATATAGAAGCATATAAATATATAATGGAATGTAAATATATAGCGACGAACAAACATAACTATGTAAATAAGTATATAAGAAATTGTAAATATGCGAATAATAATAATAATAATAGTAATAATAGTAATAATATTGATAATATTAACTAATTTCATCTAGCAATAACAATGTAATTTTTTGTTGTTGAGATCCTGAACCAACTGATGCTAGACCACCATTGAAAACCTGGAAGTATTTGACGGTCATTTCATCCTATTGTGGGACTCCTCAACAGTGCGCGACCACGATCCAACCAAGGAAATCGATCTCTCGAGCGAACGTTTAAACTCTAGACCACTGATTCGGTATCCAACGGTGTTAATGTCTAACTTCAACCACCCTACGAAATTCCGCGACCATCCTCTATTGCCTGAAGTAGATACCTGTCTCTACTGGACACGGACTAGCTCCGCTGATCATGGCTCCTTACTAGAACCCCGAGAATTCCCTCATTCGGTTCATGATCTCAATAAAAAAAATTAACAATCTCCACAACCCTATACTGATAACAATGTAATTGTCAGAGTTACTTGATCTGAAACATGATCTTGAAATTTGACTACTGACATTTTAGCCAATAAATGAGATTGATTAAATCGAGTTTCCCATATTAACAACAGGGAAACTAGAATCTTTGTATATAATAATTTCATACTAGGATGAAACGACCATCTAGTACGTCCAAGTTTTGAATGGTAGTCTAGCATTAATCGATTTATGATCTCAGTTAAAACTCAACAATCTCAACAACCCTACACTGGTAATTTCATATGTGCTGACTAAGATAATCGATGTTCGAACTCAAAAGATTAGTGAAAGACGTATGAGCGTTTAAAAGAAAAAGGCAATGGTTTTAGGTTCTAGTATGAATAAGAACATTAGGATGCAGGTACATTTGGATGACGAATTTCAAATAGAACCAAACGTAATTTCTGGACTTCATTGATAGACAAAGTTCAATTTTATTTCGACCCGTAAATAAAACCGCTATTGAAGCAAACTCCTTAGGGTACATATAAATTAAGAGAGAATCGATCAGATAAATGTCATTGTATCAACAACGAAAAAAGCGTACACTCCCACAAATATAAACGAGTAAACGACTGATGCAAATCACAAATATTTCACTAGAAATGTAAAGAAACTTATATAACTGTTGATTTGTACAACACTTAAAACTATTCAAAGCCAACGATCGGTATTCGCATCTTGATATTTAATAGAAATTTCACTGTGGAAACAGTGAGATTATCATTTATGGACGACATTTGAGCGACGCCAAAGTGACCTCGAAGGTGTCCACCTACTAACTAGGACCAAATGAGGGTTATAAACAGATATGAGGGGTTAGAATTATGATTTACAGTTGATGGTTAGGGTTGGAAATTAGATTTAGGGTTTTCACCATGAACTGATATCAGCTATAATACCAAAACGTTATTTAGCCGAATAGATGAACGAATTTCGTCCCAAAATCTAAGACCTGTTATCCTAGATCTAATTGGTTTGTCCATAAATTATAATGTCACCACGAAAATCTATTTGTCTGCTTTTTTATAAGGTTAATACGTAAGATTCACAATCTTTCTCAATAATTTTTTTCCAAGAAAAGTCAATGTAGTAGCAGATTATACAGATCCAACAGGATCCATCTAACCAAAATACTAAACTTTAAGCCGCAATTTAACTATAAAAATTACTAATATAAGTACTAGTTGACCGAATTGAAGTAGATAAAGAGATGGGATATTCGAATCTGTTACCAGTTGATTGCGATTCAATTCTAAACCGGTGATAATCAAACTATAATGAGTATGTCTAAGAAAAATACATCAAGACGAAAAAGCAAAAATTAACTTAGATGAGGAATTATGCCCAGGATAAATTGGCAGACTATCGCATTGATAAGGAGATCTTAATAATCACTGTCATTTTTAGGCATTAATATAACTATGATTGTAAACATGAATGCAATCAATACTATGCGACATAATGTACATGCTAAGTTGCATGAATGTTTGTGGGTATATGGAATAATTAACTATTAATACTAATTTCATGATCATGAGTCAATTGAAGCTAGACCACCATGGAAAACCTGAAAGCACTACACGGTCCTGTGTTCGGATCTCGCGAGGCAGGTTCGTGGATGCATACTGTTGAGAAGTCCCACAATAGGACAAAATGACTGTCCAGTGCTTCTAGGTTTTTCAACGTTGTCTAGGTTTAATTAACTCATGATCTCAACTATTAAAATTACTATATTGTCCACAAAAATCCCTTCTGATATTAATACTAATATTACTACTATATAGTGTTACTGCATGAAAAAGTTCCACGATGTAATGTATAGGCATAATAATCAACATTTTACTAAGCACAAATATGTACATTCTATTAATTACATGAATCTGCCTAAATTTATTACTAATACCACAGATATCGTGATTCTCATTTCCATCCACGATTAAAAGGTTATCATTAGCGCCAAACATGATAAAGTCATTTGAATAAACTGAAAATATGTGGATATTAGAAAATTTGTTAAAACCTATTATATGATAATAGACTACTATTACATAATAAATAGTATCATTAAGAAAGCATTTTTTAATTTTAATATATTACATATTCGACTATAAACTCAGTGAGAAAACTTTAAAAAAACAACGGCCGTCCAGTTCTTCCAGGTTTTCAATGGTGGTGTAACATCAATCGGTACATCAACTCAATCAAAAACTTAATAATCTCCACAACCCCTATACTGGTAATTACCATGTACCCACTAGTGACTAGCTTCGTGAAGGAATTCTCGGAGTTCTAGTGAGAAGCCGGACTAGTGGAGACAGGTATCTACCTCAATATAATGGAAGATGATCGCGCAATTTCGTAAACTGAACGAGGTTAGAGATTAACACCGTTGGATACCGGCTCAATGGCCTAGAGATTAAGTGTTCGTGCGCGGAACCGAAGGTCCTGGGTTCGAATCCCTCAAGCGGGATCTGGGATGCACACTGCTGGGGAGTCCCATACTTGGACGAAATGGTCGTCCAGTGCTTTCAGGTTTTAAATGGTGGTCTAACATCAATCGATTCATGATTTAATCAAAAACAAAACAATGTGATGGGAAAATTATGTGAAATCAACATTTTTGAACAGTAAGTTGTATATTGACAATAATTAACTATTTGACTTAGTTCAATCTAGGCAATGGGTTGGTATCACTAGTCTTCAACATTCGAAGTATAACTCAGAGTTGAGTGCATTCATCTATGCATTTGATTACTACTACTACTAGTAGTAGTGAATGACTCGCTACATATAAATTGAAAGAAACCTAAATATCATATAAATAAATATCACTATATAAGTTTCTTTACTCCTACCAGACCTACCAGGCCTATTTGAATATCTGGACTACCTGTTCCTGTCATCTAGATATTTCAATAAGTTATCTATTTTTGTTTTAATACATCATTCTGTCTATTAATCGCATAACCTATTCAAGTGAATTTGTAAAATGTATACAACCTTTCGTTGTACAAGTTACAAAAGGCCTAATCAGAGACATCGCGGATGTTGGTTGAAAAGAATGAATATTATTTGGATGTTGACTTCTGAACTGCTAACATCCAACTGACGATCATTCAAATATGTTATCATCAGGATCGATCAAGAAATAAGAAACGGAAACTTGTTACTGACAATTCTATATTGTACCAAAAATATATGATATTGAATAAAGCTAATAATAATAATCTATGCAATTGTTTATGAGAAACATACAATATGCATCCGTTTGTTAAGTTTGATATCTCTTTACAAATGATACATCAAGGGTACTAACACTACTTTATTATATAAAGAAAAACAATAATAGCATAGGTTTCTTTAAGACTATTGTTAACTCTATCATTTATTAATCATTATCAATTTGGAATACACAAACTATTACGATTACATAATCCGTTAAACCAAATGTAACAGTTAATAATAAAGGTCATAACTTAGTTATCAAGTAAATAGTTCTGTGCTTAACACACATTGTATTACATCTTTCTAGAAGTAGGGAATTAGTGGTATCATCCAATTGCTCTTAGCTAAAGTATGTGAAGTACAAAAGAGGGGAAAATTTAGATTTTGACATAATAGTCAATAGTGTTATTACTTTTATCAAAGTGGGATTCTTTCTTACCGAAAAGAATATGAAAATTTTCTTAGGGAAAAAATTGTTATTTTTCTTTTTTGAAAACTATAACGACAAATATAGAGATCTAAATAAAAAACAACAACTCGTGAATTCCTCAACACACCATCATCTCTCACACATGGACTTACCTGTGTTTGAATACGATTTACACCACGAATCCATAAAATACGTCCACCAATTCCCATATTAGCACCACCTAGTGATAATGGAGAGATTTCATCTTCTTCTTCATCAGCTTCACCGACTTCAATCGCATCTTTAATGTATTCATCAGCTGCATTTTCGTTAACACCGACAACTGTAGGACGTTTACGTTTACGACATTTACATTTTGGTATAATTGCATTCGGTACTGTATTAACAACCTATGATATTATGTAAATGGTAGATAACAGATAGGGGATAAGGTGGAAAAATTAACCTATTCAATATTTTGAGCAATAATCAACTAAGACAAAAACAGCTATAAAACCATGATCTTATCATTACAGCACTACCATTATCAATACCTTAAGAAAACAATAATTGGCCTTGAAGTGCATCAAGATGTAAATGGAGAATACTAGACATTTATTGGATTTCATTAGGGATCCAACTATTGATAATAATCGATTCTATGTAATCATTTTTGATATTGCTATAACATAGGACCAGGCACATATATGCATCGGTCCAAGTTGCCATACCTCATTAACATGATACTGAATTTAGATTGTAACTATTCAAATCAATTTCGATATAGTAGTTTTCTGTATATGATACATGAATAAGAGTGTCAAGCAAAGCTTGACTGATACTATTACAACACATGATTAATCCATAATATCCCACCCTATTGGATTAAAGAATTATGTATGTGTATACGACAAAATGTAAGCAATAGTAAAAAAAACCCCACCGATTGGGCAAAATAAGTTATGCAAACCACAAATTCAAAGTTCTATGTTCTTAGGTTCGTGTAATGAATTTCGATTCGTGTTTTGATGTAAAAGAACATTGGAATATGTAAGAATATGATTCGAGCCTACATTACAGTGGTTTAAAGCTGAATGCTCTGACCACTATGTCCTCGGTGAAAGAGTGAATGTTTTAAAAATTCAACAGTACATACACCCCTTTTTCTTTTTAGGAATTAGTAGGATGATAAACCTTCTGACAGAAAGCTTTAATCAGTTTCCTAAGCTATTGTAATAACTCCAGGCTAGATCTACACGGCAACTTGAACACGAGAAAAGGTGTTAAATATGAAAAGAATGCTTTACTCCAAGGTTCCGTTTATGTACAGAAAATTTAGGGTATTTATAACATTTCAGATGGGATTAGGTTTCTGAAAAGTTCTGGGACCCTACACTAAACATAATAGCAGTATAGATAATCATTCAATTAGAAATGTGACAGGTAATTCTTCACTTTCTAGATGTGTCTGAGAAACTTCTGTTGAGTGCCGATTGGATAAAATGTTCTCTAGCATTTTCAAGGCTCTCTTGGGCTTTTTTCGAGGGATTTTCTGGATCTCTCCAACATGTCTTATAGGAAGAGCTTTAAGCATAAAAATACTGTGTTAGTAAGTAATAATAAGGCTACTATTACAACATGATGATGATTGTGTACACATAATTATTCATTTTCACTAACTATTAGATATTACAGTTGAGTGTAGTTTTGTAGTAATGACGAAGATTCTTCCTCTGTGTCTCTCTCTGTGTGTGAGTTATGATTGATAACAGCTTTGAATAAAAACAGACTACAACATCAAAAAGGTTATATCTGAGGATTCCAGGGATTGAAGAATTGTTTCCAAAGGTATAGTTGATCTATTTAATTTTGATTGTCATAAAACTAAGAAAGAAAAAGCCTATCCCATTTCATTTGTTATTGATTGTTTCTTAATATTTTGACAAGTTTGTTTTCAGATCCTAAATGTGGTTATCAAGTGTTTTGATTGAATACATTTCAATTGTTATACATGATCATTCATAGATGGATTATCAGCTTTAGATTAATGTCTATACTTATCAGCTGGAAATATGTTCACATTCTCACAATTTCTAAAACTTTAGGCTCTTCTATTCTAACGTTATGAACTTAGAGTAATTTGTTAAATATATTTCTTATTTATTCCTCCAAGTTTTCAATGGTTACACTCGAATGTGCATTGAACTATTCTAGTTCTTAAAATTTAACCTGTTTATAGTTGAAGCTGATAATTATATAATTTACAACACAACCTTGTTGCCAACAAGAACTTGATCAATAGGATATTGGATCAACCATTAAGGACTCAATAAACATGTCACTGATCACTATTACGTGACTATTTCAGTCCTGCAGCAGGTCAATCGAGGGAACAGATAGTTAATTGGTAGTACCTCAAGTCCTTAAGCTAAAAGACACTGATTCTAGTTAGGATCACACAGGATGAAGGATTAGTTCTTCACTTCTTCATGATGGTGAGTGTCAACTAGCGAATAAACATGAACTGAGCCATGTTAGTAGATGTAGACTAACTGGTTGGGATCCGCGAGATGATAGCAACCGATAGTTAGAAACCTTGAATGGCATGACTCAAAATCATTTGCAATGGCTCAGGTGTATCCACTCTTTGTGTTCTCCCAAATTCTAATATTCTGAATTATTCTTGTCCCTTTTTTTCTCTGTCCAAGTTTATTTCACTGGATTATACTCCTTGAATGACATCTTCAAACCCTAATCTTTCCGGTTACTGCTTATACTCTTTCTACCTCTACCATTATGCGATTTGAATCGACAACTGCATCTCTGTGCTAATGTGGTATGGCAACTCGAACTGGTATACGTACACACAAAGTTATACATTGTTACTGACTGACTGACTGAGGAAGAGATTTTCGGCAGGCAACAAGTAACAGCGAACTGGCAAGAAAGTAATTACATCACCACCATTCATGATAATAATAATAATGGCCTTTATTAGTATTGTTGATTAAACTAAACACATACCTGACCCCAGACAAGTTCACCAACACCAAAGAATAAACACCAAGCCCATTGATCTAATTCTAATGCTTTTGTACTGAATGCATATGAACCAAATTGTATAATTAATGCTTGTAATAAAAATGTTACAAACCAAATTATAATAAATAATGGATTTCTATGTAAACCACTAAATACATTACGTTGTCCATGGATTTTTCTTGCATTAAATTCATTAAATAATGTCATTAATACTAAAGCATTAAATATTATAGTATAATGCTGTGTTGGTTCATGTACTGTTATCCCGATACATTGTCGACTTCCATTATTAATTGAACTAAAGGAAAAGGGAGAGAGGGAGAGAGAATAATAAAAATTGGATGGGGAAATGATTAGAATAAGATATAACTTTATTTATTAAGAAAGAATCCGTCAGTTAAAAAGTAACGTAGAATCTGGTGTATATGTGTATCGGTTCAAGTTTATCATACTACAAATCACCATATCAAGATAAATACCAGATTATTACTATTGTTAGGTAGGTAGGTAGTAGTTAGCAGTAGAAGTAGGAGATATTTGACGTAGATAATAAGATTCGAGAAGACATAATGAGTTAATAGAATAAGAAGTACAAGATAATTTTAAAGTTTAATATTTAAAAGATGTTTGTGTGATTATGATCGATTTTCAGCAGTGTCACCTAACAACTCTGAAAATTGTTTATGATAGTTGCGAGGACCGCAAGCAAATTAATTTACAACAGTCAATATGTCTCAAACTAACAGTTAATGGTTTCATGAACTAATGATATGTTTTAGTTTGGTCATAGCTTTAACAAAAGAGGATACAACTGTTATCCTTCAAATAAATTCTTTATAATTCGAGATTAGAAAAACTTGTTAAAACTGAGAAAGCTGTTGAATTTGAAGTTCATTAAAATCATGAACCCATCTAAGTTAGATCACCGATGAAGACATGGAAGCGTTGAATGGCCGTTTCATTAAGCGTTCGCGCACGAGATAGAAGGTGTTGAGTTCGACTCTCGCCTATGAGGTCGTAGATGCGCAATAATGAGTAGTTCTACACTAGGAAAAAACGGTCATCTAGTGCTTCCAGGTTCATCACTTAACATATTTGACTATGTGCAATGACAATATGATGATGTATAAGTCTCAGTTATGAAGCGTCTAATTGTTAAACATGTAACTATGCACTACTATGAATAGTTATTTAAAAGAAAATATGAACAATTGAAGGTAATTAGCTCAGGAAGTACATATGCTGAAGGCCTTTCATATCAACAAGATATCAACTTACAAATACTAAAGTGAATTTAAGAATTTCCATCGGGATATATAAAAACATGTGTCCAAACTTGTTTAATATAGTTTCCTAGCCTAGTTAGGAGTGTCAACGTGGGTTGACAACAACAAAAAATCAGCTGATCACGTTGGTATATCAATCATAGACCAGACTTTCAAGTTTTATCAACCAATAGTATCACATGATTCAAGGACATAATATGTATTTATTTTCAACCAATCAAATTGACTTACCATAAAATAATAAGAAAAATATAACACCCAATTGATATAAAGAATGACCTAAGATATTTTTAGCCATTTGTCTACTGATCAATGGTTGAGTACGTCCATATGGTGCACGATCTAATAATTCCACTGATGGTTGTTCTGTAGCCAATGCTAAACTAGCCAATGTATCCATTATTAAATTGACCCATAACATCTGTATAGCTTTCAATGGACTATCCTACAAATGATTGCAAGTAGTTTTTGGAAGCGGGAGGAGAAATGGGGGGGAATAAGGACAAAAAATATACAATAAACGGATCAGTATAATAGATTCAAAGATAGAATTAGACAAAACAACAGAACAATTGGGGAAAGAAGTGTGGAGAGACGAACCACATTTAAGATAAAAGGTCTTGGATCTTGGGACGAAAACCATTCATCCATTTGGTTAAAAATTGTTTTGGCATTATAGTTTATGACAGTTTGTGATGAAAACCACAAATCTATTCCTAACCCTAACCATCAACTGTAAATCATAATTCTAATTCTTCATATTGCTTTATAGCTCACATTTAATCCTAGTAAGTAGGTGGACACCTTCAAGGTCACTTTGGAGTCGCTCAAATGTTGTCCATAAATTATAGTCTCACCTCAATTGGTTCGGCCCTATACTCTACGCTAACCCTAAGTGGTTGCACTCTTCATGTGTATGAATATCAAAGGGATTACTGAACGTCACTAGATACTCTCGCCTATTTCAATGCAATTAGACAGTGGCCAGCGCAAAACTTTCTGAGTAAACGTTGAAATCTTGGATGGAGACAAAACAAAGAATATCGGATGTTTTCTAGAGGCTTAGGATTAAGATCGCCCAGTAGTCTGTTAAAAATATTGAAATAGGTTCGATGTATCCAACACGTAGGAAAATATCAAACAGCTTTGAGGTCATTTCAGTCATCCATCCAAAATATAAATCTCCATTAGAATCTATCTTCTTAAAGAAATTTCTCAGAAAAGAAAATGTCCCATCACCAAAGTTCCATTCAGCTTGAATCTGATCATCTAGCGTTAACTAATAAATTCGAATTGTTGTACAGACATTAAATTTATCGACCGTTCTAGAGCATGAATTTCTCTGATTCAAAATTTATTCAGTAATAGTGTTGTGAACGAGAACACAGGTAGAGATAATCGATTGTATTTAAATACAAAATTACATAATTCGTTATTAAAATATAAGAATCATACACTGAATACTTCATTTCAATAAAGCCAGAAAAAATATTGATGCAGAAAGCCAATTGATGTTCGTCTGATTCCAATATCTAGGAAATGGAATCTACCTTCAACTTCATATTTCCATAGTAAATTTTATATCCTTATGTGTTTTATTAAACAGACTGAGTAGGTTCATGGAGTGCTTGTGATTGGTGCAGACAAGAAATGTGTCATCAATGTATCTACAGTAGAGTGTGGTACCATCGATTATGTGTTTAAGCTTTTTCTGTTCCAGGCTTCCCAGAAATATGTCGGCCAGAATTGGGCCCAAAGGGCTACTCCAACAATTCGACGGTACAACACATATTTGAGTTTAAATTTTTTTATACACAAAAACAGGAGCTGTTTAAATTCATGGATTGGTAAAGGCAGAAGTTCAGGATATTCACATATGATCTCTGCCGTGTCTTCCAAGGGGATATTTGTAAAGAGCGATGAGACCATTAATTTATCAGAAGCATCAATATTTGTTCTGGCTTTATTTAAATTCATAGAAGGAACTAATTGCACGAATACTTCATTTGTAAATTCCCATCATTTGTATTTCACATTCTGTATGGTTCTTCCAGTTAACAATTATAATCTATTTTCCCTTCTATTCTCTTTAATTCGATCTTCTTAACCTTCTGCTTCTAGGTTTTTTTTACTTCCGGCTGGTGTGACATACTACTTATATCGACAAACATAAGTAGCATATACCACATTAGTACACACCAAACATCATCGAATTTAATTATTCTACTATGAATATAATTAAAAATTTACTAAAACTATTAGCAACAGCCTACTGTGGGAGAGAACAAACCAGATCACAGCGGAGGAAGAAATCAGGATGAAGCGTTGGAAGCGGATAGGACACACATTGAGGAAAGCACACAACTGCATCACAAGACAAGCCCCCAGATGGAGTACACAAGGCCAAAAGAAAAGAGGAAGACCGAAGAATACATTACGCCGGGCAATGGAGACAGATATGAGAACAACAAACAAGAATTGGATGGAACTAGAAAAGAAGACCCAGGACAGAGTGGGTTGGAGAATGCTGGTCTGCGGCCTATGCTCCATTAGGAGTAATAGGCGTAAGTAAGTAAGTAAAACACTTCGTCAAGACAAATTTGTGTACGAAACATTGGAATTATTGATGAATATTTCTATAAACGAAACAAATTTGTAATTGGATAAACAAAAAAGTTGACTGAAACTGTCATTAGTTATCATCACGTTACATGAATACGTTATATGGTATGTGCAATAGCAGAACTTCAATAAATCCTAGAACTACACAAGATTAAATTATTCTATTTAAAACAACTAATATACTCTTCTCGTGGCGACAGTATTGTTTACGAAATTGAGAGGATGAAAAGAGAACGTCCAGCGCTTTAACCGGATCCCAAACTGATGGTGCACATGGGCTCCAGTGTCCTGAGGGAACAAATGGCGTATGAACCAATTATTGGTCACCGGCTACCATAAGACTGGATTTCCTTACGTTGCTCCACTACCTTGTGGATCAGACCTTCATGTCGAAGGCTCTAAGTGTGGCCCCTAAGAAAACCACCTACTTCAGTTTGGTCACCCGGACAGTATCACAGCCCTCATACATATCAAATGAGATTTGTGTAATGCATATGTATTTGGTGCCTCCTTGTACCAATATCTATGTGTTAAAATGAATAAATAAATATAGGATTAACAATAAGATTTCCAATACATATATACAATATGACAGAACTATTCAGCTTAATTGAAGTCATTCCATTAATTGACTTTAAATCAATCAATGAAATAGGAATTAAATGTAAAACCGGAAAATAGTAGAAAAAGCAATCCAGTCAATACATTACCACCAAGTAGTAATTCTTTGAAGTGTGTTTACAACATATGAAGAAGAAAATCAAATGTTTCATTAAAGTAACAAGACAGAATCTAAAAGAAAAAATTAGATTATGCAATACTACAACATAATTGATTTACAAGCAATGATGGATAGTGGCTAGCAGTGGAATCCAGGACGCGCGTTTCGTCCTATTTGGGACTCGTCAGCAGTCTTAAAACTCAATGGGAAGATACAAGCCAAACAAAATACCAAGTGAATAATTGATTTATTTTTATACTTTACATTATTTACTTAAGCTATATAAACGATGAATTAGACTGATATTAAATGGAAGAAAATAGATTGTTTATATTTCTTGTCTATGAAACATGATAATTTTGAAATGGCTATTTATTTACTTTTATTTTAACACATAGATATTGGTACAAGGAGGCACCAAATACATATGCGCCACACAAATCTCATGTGCACTATTGGTTTGGAATTAGGGTTTTCCAACTTCCGTAGGAGGACTCTCCATGTCCGAAAACCCGGTTAAAGCACTGGATATTCGCTTTTCGTTCTCTAAATTTCGTAAACAGCACCCACCACGAGAAGGTAGTGAGTAGGACTTCCCTGAATAAGTAGTACTAATATTAAATGTCCAACTATAATCTTAGTATAATTTGTAGGAGGTTTCATGAAGATTGTAGAATTCTCGTAATTCAAATCACAAACTGATCTTAGATTGAATATTAGTAGAAACCAAGAGGTATTGAATAGCTATTTCTTTCCAGGATGAGACTATTTAGCAGTGTTCATCCACAACTCTGCCTCAAGATCCAATTCTTGGAGTTCTGCTGAGAATTCATGACCAGTGGAATTCAACCATGTCGGATATGAGACAGTTATCCATCAAAGACAATAGAAGGTCATGGAAATATCGTGAATTGATTAATGTTAAATACGTATAGGATTAAATGCTAAACTAGTGATTTGTAGTTTAAAAATTTATGTGCAAGACAAGATGTCCTGTGTCAAATTTCCTGACATAACTTTAACTTACATCTAAAAAGCATGCTCCAGCGAATGCAACAATAATTGCCACACAATTTACAGTTAATTGAAATTGTAAAAATTTGTAATTGAATCATATACATTACGACCCCACATAACAGCTTTAACAATACTTGAAAAATTATCATCTGTCAATATAATATCAGATGCTTCTTTTGCTACATCTGTACCAGCTATACCCATTGCAAAACCAACATCTGCACGTTTCAACGCTGGACCATCATTTGTACCATCACCAGTGACAGCGACTACTTGACGTGACGGTGCTGCACGACTGTTAATTATCCCACTGACTAATGTGTACTTATCCTATTACAGAAACAAATATATATATTTATGTGAAATTTAAATCTCTTTTATTAATAACAAGTGATTAGAAATAAACTCAAATGTATTCATAACAGATAACTTCGTCTGAATACAATAACTTAATGTTAAACAAAGTATGAACAACCGAATGATTAGTAGGATCCAGATAAATTTATCATCATTGGTTTGATCTATGGCTCGAATAACCCCATTCATAACGTTTCAGATTGAGAAGTTAAGTTACACAAGTTCAAGTTTCACACTGGGTGTCAGTTCCTCAGAAATTACAGATATACTTTGCTGATGAGTGCGAACTAGCAAAAAACATAGGTGAAGGATGATCTCATGTTAATTACGTTCAATCGTTCCATATCAGCCTTATTTGAAAACATATTATCAACCAATTGTACACCGGTTTATCACTACGAATAGTAGTATGATTACGAACTAAGGTCTCCTCACAAACTTTAAAACTGATTTGAATGCTCAAAACGAAACAGAAAAGCACAGATTGAAAAGGAATAACGCAAAATATATAGTAATCTTTAAGTTTGGTTTGTATCTTGAGTGATTAATCATGGTGAAAGGGGGCAGGTGTGAAGCCATAGTTACTGATAATCATCATAATAATAATAAACAATATTAACTCAACGAGTGAACAAACGTCAATAGTGGATGCATAAAAAGTAAGCTTAAGTAGTAATAATATCAGAATAATTCAAAAATGTTTTTCCAATCATAAAGAAAGGTAATTGGTTGCAGCTGTTAACATATTTATAAACTTCACTGAACTTGGTAGAAAGGAAGACATGAATGTCGATCCAAAATGGACCATTTATCTAAATATACACAGATTTAGTCTTATTCATACCTCACATCACTAACAGACATGTAAATGGTCAGACGAGCTAAACTATATCAGGTGTGGGGGAGCTACCCACCAAAGACAATGAGAGATGGTCGCGGATTGACTGAAGTTAGACATTAACATAGTTGGATCCAAGCTCAGTTAAGCGTTCGCGCACGAGATCGACAGTCTTTAGTTCGTTATGATACTGAAATTTCAAATACTTCTGGAAATAAGATCTACCATTTTATTATTTCTTCTTGTAATTATATTATGGAAGATATTATAATTGGTGTGTTGCCATTATGTAGCAGTAGCAACTACTAAGTGGGAATCAAAGAAGTCAATTATATCCCAGTTTTGGTTAACTAGAAAAAATACATCAGTTCAATGAAGACATTAAACATTGGAATGAATCATGTAGGTAGATGTAGATTACTTGTTTTTGGTTCATATGATTAACATAGCCAAGCGGTTGGAAACTCTAAATGATATTAAATTTACTTGGTATTCTTTTACATGTATCTTCCCATTGTTATTTAGAACTGCAATAGATCAGTCTCATGTTGGCATATGTGCATTATGTGTGGACTGCGTCGATATAGTCTTAAGTCACAAGCGTTTTAAGCAAAGATGGATAGTGGCTAGCAGTGGAATCCAGTTTGAAACGCGTTTCATCCTGTTCGGAACTCGTCACCTGGATGTACCTACATCCCAGGGTTAATGTTTATTCCGGGACTCGAATCCAGTACCGTTCGCTTCAAACGCCATCGCGTTATCCACTTAACTACTGAGTCCTAATAGCCAACTGCTTGTGCCATGGGGCGAAGTTTAAATTCACTTGTATCTTCCGATTGTTATTTAAGACTGCAATTGATCAGTCTCATGTGATATTTTTCAAAATCATTCACAATAGTTCACATGCATTCACTCTTTGTCTTCACAACTATCTGAGTTCTTTATTAATGATTTTCGTTTTATTGTAGTAATCCATATTTCCTCCTTGAATCGTATCTTCAATGATTAATCATTTCTATTAACACGAATACTCTTATTAACTTTACTATTCTGGTATTCACCTTGACAACTGGTAACTTGAACTGATGTATCCATATTGATTCAATGTTAATGATGAATAGAATGAATACAATTCATTCATATTGAAAATTTATATTCTAAATAAAGTGTGTACACTTAACAAGAACAAAGTAAAAAAAAAATACCAGTGTACATTTTTATCCACCCTGTTAATTTTAGTTACCAATTAAATGTTTATTTTATACAACAATCACACTAATACATATGTACAAATATAAACCCATCTATATACACACATACACGATATTACTGATTTCAGTAGAATGTAAATGAATGATTGAAATAATGAGTTGAGTACTTCTTTTCAAAATCCAAATTCTTATGTCTTAAAATTAGACTAATGTTAATCATTGTATCCATTTTTATGAATCAGTTACATTTACCTACTTATCATTATTATCACTAATGAAAACGGTTAGTAGTAGTATTGGTAATAGTTATAATAATAATAATAATAAACAGTAAGTATTGTAGTACACATTGTATATTCGTCTGTTCAACTGTTTATAATAATCTAAGTGTGTAAATAATACAATGTTGTATTACAGTGCAAATATTAGTTCGTTGAGTTGATGTTATTGAAAAACAAAATTTTGATCTAATTTTCAGAACGGATCGTAATGATAAGTAAACTTATGATGATGATGATGATAATAATAAGTAAGTATGTAATACATAGATGTGTTTATATGTGTGGATAGGTAATCCTCATATTTAACACATAAATACACAATGTGGAGATGAAATTATCATATTAACAGTAATTGACTGAAATATGTTTCACGTTTTACATTTTGCTTAAACAATTGAATTACAGTAATTTTAATAGTTGAGATCATCAGTCAATTGAAGTTAGATCATCATGGAAAACCTCGAAGCACTGGACGGCCGTTTCGCCCTATTGTGGAACTCCTCAGCAGTGCGCATCCACAATCCCACTCGTGGAGTTCGAACACAGACCAATCAGTCTTGCGAGCTAACGCTTAACCTCTAGAGCATTGAGTCGGCATCCAACAGTGTTAATGTCTAACTTCAATCAATCCACGAAATTCCGTGACCATCTTCTATTGTACTGAGGTAGATACTTGTCTCTAACCGACACGGATTAGCTCCACTGGTCACAGGTACTCACTAGAACTTCGATTGTGGATGCGCATTGCTGAGAAGTCCCACAATAGGATGAAACGGCCGTCCAGTGCTACCAGGTTTCCATGGCGGTCTAACATCAATCAGTTTATGATCTCAATCGAAAAATATTGGTTTATTTTAAAGATTGTATTCATTATAGATGGATTTCAGTTATTAGATAATCATTCAGTTATGCTGAGAATTGATTGAAATAAATGTTGTATCATTAAACATTGACTCAGTGTTCCTAATGATTAGATATTCGCTACGACATCATATTTATTATCGTGTCTTCGTGTATTACAAACACATACTCGTGTAGTTATAACTGACTTAATAATCGATAATTTAAAGTGACAAGTTCTGTCAATGATAAAGAAACAAGGAAAAATAGGCAGATAACCGAAGAAGAAAGAGGAAAACAGAGATGTATATATGAGCGTGAATAAGAAAGCGAAAGGATTACCATTAATTTCCACAATAAAAATAGTGAATAATTATTTAATGTAGAATAGATGGATTGTGGTTAGCATTGGAATCCAGGACACGCGATTTATCTTATTTAAGACATGTCAACTCGATGTATTTGCATTCCAGAGTTGATATTCACTCTGGGATTCGAACCTAGTACCTTCCGTTTCAAACATTTAACGAATTGTTCTATATGAACTTATGATAAAACAATCGGCACAAGATGTACACACGCTAATTAGGACTAGTCAAAATTAAGTCAAAATATCAATAAAGGGATGATAATCCAAACAACAACAAAAAACACCATTACAAATTAGATTAGAATAGTTAGTTTAATCAGATCCACTCAATTTTCTAATTTACACATAAACTGCATAGAATTCCTTTTGTGTTACATTTTTCCAACTGTTCAATTCATTAGGTGGTAATATAATGTCTGTCTTTAAGAATATTGATGACAATGATGATAATAGTTACTAATGTGTTTATTATTTTCCTAAGTTGAATAAACTTTATTTCATTACTAGGAACCATATTTAGACCCATTTTTACCTTAATCAACATGTACAACTTGTATTCTCTTGACAGGCAGCTAGAGATAATACAGATACAACACACATACATACATACATACATACATAATATACTAACATACATTGGAGATGTATAGTTATCTATGTTTTCCTTGTGAATGAATACACAACTTAAGGTAAATAAGTAAGTCATTCATGTTTTATCTTATGTTTTCACATTTTTCAAAGTTAACAGAACATATCAGTGATACAGTTTTGTCTTTAAGGACAGAAGTATTACCATATTTTTGTAATTAATTCAATAGATAACAAACTGTCATACTGAAATATGATTAACTGATTTATGAATACTTGTTGGGACATAGAGACAAATACAAACACACACACACAGAGAAACAGCTGTGTTAGTTGTATCAACCGATAACAAACATATCAGGACTGAAATCTTATCACTACTACCAACATATTACATTCGTGAAAAAAAAATATTATTAAAGAAACAAACATCGGAAAAAATTCCACAACTCCAAACTGATAATTACCAAGTGCTCACTAGTGACTAGTTTTGAGACGTAATTCTCGGAGTTCTAGTAAGAACCTGTGACCAGTGGAGCTAATCCGTGTCGGTTAGAGACAGGTATCTACCTCAGTACAATAGAAGATGGTCACGGAATTTCGTGGATTGATTGAAGTTAGACATTAACACCGTTGAATGCCGACTCAATGGTCTAGAGGTTAAGCGTTAGCTCACGAGACTGATTGGTTCTGGGTTCGAACCCCACGAGTGAGATCGTGGATGCGCACTGCTGAGGAGTTCCACAATAGGACGAAACGGCCGTCCAGTGCTTCCAGGTTTTCAATGATGGTTTAACATCAATCGGTTCATGATCTCAATCAAAAAATATTTAAGATATTATTATAACTGAACAATTAAAATAATTTATTTCTATCAGTAAGATGTCAATTATAATGTTACTGTATTCTCTCTATGATAGGTTACTCATAGTTACGAATATTTTCTTAACACCCTGAGCAACATCATCAGCCAATATAGAATGTGACATCAAAAGACAATATTCACTTCATTCGTCAGTCAGTCAGTTGAACGCGATGTAAAACCTGGAACGTATGTACATAAGTTTAAGTTGCCATACCACATTAATACCATAATATAAAATTGTTAGGGGAAATCTCAGAATAGTAGAGTTAATAAGAGTATTCGTATTAATAGAAATGATTAATCATTGAAGATACAATTCAAGGAGGAAATATGGATTGGTAAAATAAAGCGAAAATCATTCATGAAGAATTCAGATAGTTGTGAAGACAAATAGTGAATGCATGTGAGCTATTGTGAGTGATTTTGAAAAATATCAATTAAGGTCTCTAACTAATGGTTATGTTAATCATCAGAACCATGGACAAGCAATCTACAACTACCTACATGATTCAGTCCAATGGGTAATGTCTTCATAGACTGATGCCATGGTTTGATTTAAGCGCTCTCTTTTTCCAACCATCTCTATGACACTCATGATTGGATGTCAAGGTAGTAGGTGGATAAGCAAATATAATACATGTCTTAATCATCTCAGTTATTAGGTATTCACCAATTCGTCGATCTATTAACCATACATATCTAGTAATTTGCGGCTAACCTCAGAATTTCTAACTCGATGGTTCCAAAATATACGAGTAATACTTCGGATATCCCTTCGACCGAATACTAGTAACCTACGAATATCTTCTACTTTAAAGGAATGTGTTTCATAGCCATAAATCAACAACTTTCTATGTAACACATAAATGAAAGAAAAAAAAACTTACCTGAGGTGAAGATCTAGCCAATACTCTTAAATTAATCCATACTTGATCAAATAAATCTTGTCTAACTTTACCAGTTGCTTTGTCACGAATACGTCGATTAAATTCTTTACCTTCAATAACAAGAAAATTTTCACCTGGTTGTATAATACCACATTTCATTGCAATTGATCGTGCTGTATTTACATTATCACCAGTTACCATACGTACAGTGATACCGGCTTTTTGACATTGACGTATAGCAGCTGGTACTTCTGGTCGAACTGGGTCTTCAATTCCAATAATACCTAATAAAGTAAGACCTTCTAATAAATGTTCTTCATCATCCCAATTCGGTTCACTTTGTACAATCATATCATTTGGACTTTTTGAATTTGTAGCTACATTCAATGTAGATGAAAAATATAGATAAACAAAAGTCAATAATAACAAAAAATATATAACAATGAACGAGGAAAGAAAATTAAAAGCTATGTAGGCAGATGAAAATTACTTGGTTATTTACTTATTTAAGCAAATAAACAATGGTACAAGAAGGCACCAAATATATATGAGCTACATAAATCATTCGATTTGTGTGAGGGCTAGAATACTACCTGGGTGCCCAAACCGAAGCAGATGGTTTCTTTAGGGTACCACTGCTCGAGTCTTTTATCTAAAGGTCTATTCCACAAGACAGTGGAGCAACGTCAGGATATACAGTCTCATGGTAGTCGGTGACCAAGCACACATTCATACGCCATATGTTCCTTCGAAGTAATGGAGCCCATGTGCATCATTGGTTTGAAACTAGGGTTTCCCAACACTCTTAGGTGGGTCCTCCATATCCACCAACTTAGTGAAAGCTCCGGATATTCGATTTTCGTCCTCTCAATTTCGTGAACACCCCAGCTGCGAGAAGGCAACGAGTAGGACTTCTCTGTCAGTGGGTGTATACGTGTGGCCACGTGAGAGCATTTCAAGAAGGAGAGCGAACTCTCCTCACCCTCCACCATACCGGGAGCATTTGGGGGTGTCCGCGTAATTATCGTAGTCAATGTAGGGACACATGGAGTGACATGTCTTAGAATTGATCACAATCATGCAGGTTCTTTATTCCTGTTGTTGTTTTGATTGCTTTCAGTTTTCTCACATCTCTTCTCAATATTCCGCTCGCCGGCAATCCACTTCTAATTGATGTGACATATTACTTATATCTACCAACATAAGTAGCATACACCACAATCTTTCTTACTACTAATAATACTATCGCTACTTTCATTACTTCAGTATTTGTCGTAATAATCTCGCCTTAGTGTGATAATTTGTAATGTGACAAGTTGAACCGATAAGTATATCCTAAAATCTATGTTGCTTACAACTGACTGATTGTAGTAAACTCATTAGCTGATAAAAGTAGTCACTCATAGGAAGTAGTTAAATTATACATTTTAGGTAGTGATTCAATGAGGCAAATAATTTCCATTTCAGATCTCTGTTAAATGATTGGAATAATTCTATTACATAATTTATTATGTTGTTAGTGAAATCCAAATTATAACAGATCAGATGACGTTCTTAAAATATGATCGGTTTTTTCTTAAAACTTTCTAATTTCGACATTCTTTCGGATTTTCTTTTCCCAAAATCGAACGAACAAAGACAATATAAGTATCCAAAGATCGAAATACACACACACATAAGAGGTATGAGAGTACTTACCTATTGTAATTTTTTTATAAGCTATGCCAATGGTTCGAAGACCTTCACCTGCCATTGGTTCAATGACTGCTTCAGTTAAACGTTCTTGATCTTGTAGACTGAATGGTCTTGGTTTATTTTGTTCATCCATCATCCAAGAACAACTTATAGATTGAAGGATTTAAAAAAAAATAAGTTACATGAATAGTTAATTATTTTAAGGGCAGTAAGATAGATAACTCAATTATATTAAGAAACAAATAAGAACTACAGGCAAGTGGATATCTACAGATGGACTGTGACTAGCGTCAAAATTTAGAGTGCGTTTTGTCCTATTTTAATAAACGGGACACGAACCCACCTATGTGTTTTTAAGAAAGTTGAGAGAGGAGAGAATGCACTGATCTTCACCAATGAGAAACCCTATATTAAGAACAAATAAAAACTCAATACAGTAGTTGAAGGGGCTTTGTGGAGATTGCTTTAATCCGTCGGTTGTATTCCCTACAGGTTTGATGTTCATTAGGGTACGATTGAAAATCAAGAAGGATCAGACAACTGTTTCATCTTAATATAGGACTCTTCAACAGTGGGTACCCCTGGTCTCACCAGGAATCGGACTCAAGATCTTTAGGTCTCATAGTGCATGGTCAAATATTACAACCACTTGATAGACATCCAATGAGTTTTTTTGTTTACCAACTATTGTTACTCGGTTTCAACAGACTTAAAAATTTTTTAAATTTTTTATTTGAACACATAGATATTGGTACAAGGGGGCACCAGATATATATGCGCCACACAAGTCACTTGATTTGTGTGAGGGTTGTGATACTTCTCGGGTGACCAAACCGAAACAGGTGGTTTCCTAGGGGGCCGCACTCGGAACCTTCGACCTGAGGGTCTGATCCACAAGACAGTGAAGCATCGTAAGGAGATGCAGTCCCATGGTAGCCGGTGACCAATAATTGGTTCATACGCCATTTGTTCCTTTGGGATACTGGAGCCCATGTGTACCATTGGTTTGGAATGAGGGTTTTCCAACCTCCCTAGGTGGACTCTACATATCCACCAACCCGGTTAAAGCGCCGAACATTCTCTTCTCGTCTTCTCGATTTCTTAAACAACACTCAAGGAGTGAGAAGGTAGTGAGTAGGACTTCCTTCGCAGAGGCTGTATACGCGTGGCCATGTGAGAGCATTTCTAGAGAAAGAGTGGATTCTATCCATTCTCAGCCATACCAGGACATTTGGAGGCTGTTTACCAGTTTCAACAGACTGGTAAATAGTAAAAATAAACCAGATAACCAAAGGAACATATAGAAGATAATCTAAAAATTCATTAACTTATTTATAAATAATCAAAGAATAATCCATTTCTATCGTATAAAAAGGAAATTTAAAATGATGATGCAAATGGATGATGATGAAGTAGAAACAAACAAAGAAGTTATCGTTTTAAGAGAGAACAAGAATAAAACAGAAATGTCTCCTGTCAATTTCCTTTTAATATAAATTTATATATAGATTACCCATAGTAAAGGTACAAAAACCTAAATTGCACTAACTACTTAATAATCAATTTTAATAGACTGGAGGCATAAAAGAAAAAGACTTAATCTTTTTTTAATAGGTAATTTATAATTACATAAGAATGTTAAGATGTTAGATATAAGGGGTGACATTTATGAAATTGTAATAAGGATATATACAATGCAAACCAGTTTATTGCATTTTCTGTCTCTCCCTCTCACTGTGTTCACGTCCCGTATGTATCTATGTATGCATGTATGTATGTAGATGGGTGTGGGTGTGGATGTGTATGTTATGTAGAAATAGAGAAGGTGCTAATGTACAAAGAAAGTAATGGAAATAGGAATAATTGATGTAAAATCATTGATTTTATACAGTTGTGCCCATTTGTGTCCAATGAATGATTAAACAAATGAAATGTTTATTTTATCCATTAAAAAAAAAGAAAAAAAAGAAAAGAAATCATTCCATTTTAAGGACCTTTATATTCATTGATATTTTGGTAAATTGACAAAGAAGTTGAATTATTCTCATGAAATAAGATTTACTTAATAGAAATTGTAGAATATGTAATTATGAGATAAAGATGAAGTAATTAGAAATAGAAAACTAAACATTTAGTCTTTTGGTCAATCGAGTATGATGAACAGTAGAAGGATTTTTATATAGTGGTCTTGAGTGTTGTTAGAATTATGAGGCCGATTATCACTTCCCAGTCGCCCACACCGTGGAAGGGTTCTTCTAGAGGTAACTGAAAAAGAAATTGGATTAGAGGTGGTCTTAGTGACCTGAGAGTGTGACCGTAGTGCCCAAGGGACAAATGCTTGAGGTCGGTCACACACGACCTTTTTATGAGTAATTTTTGTGTTAGCTCTGTACTTGTTGGGACCTTGACGTCGGAGACGGATATCCGTGGGATAAGGCGAGGTGTATATTTTTAGGGTCGACCTTTCTAACCCCACCCTACCTTGTGGGAAGGTAGCATCGCTGTCGGACTTGCCCATCGTAATGAAGCAACCGTGCCACAGTGGCTGTAACAATCGTTCCTCAAGGTCCTTCCATGCCAGACAGGTCGGTTGAAGAGCGGTAAGACTAAAAGCAACAAACCAAGGTGTGAAGGCGAAATCTTGCTGTGCTAATGAGGTGTAACAACTTGGACCGATGCATGTATGTGCCTGGTCCTACATTGTAACTGACTGATGAAATAAATAGATTGTAGTTGGCAGTGGAATTTAGGAAGCATGTTTAATCCAATTTGGGGTTCCCTAGATAGATGCACTTGCATACTAGAGTTGATATTCATTGCGAGATTCGGACTTAATACTTTACGAGTTATCTACTTAGCTACATTCTATCTATCGTTTATGAACTTGCGAAATAGTTCATAGGTCAAAATAAAGCTCATAATAAGAGGGACATGAATATGAATAGTCCAGTTACATAACAATTATAGGATAAAAATATGCGCATAGTATTGGTCCATAAATGGATCTCAAAGTTACCATTCATTATGCTTATCGGGACCTAACACTAATATTGCACATAACAGGTGAATAAACACTTATGGGACTATTTTGCTAAATCTTAACTCTAAATCATTAATCCTTACCCTTAACTCCTAACTCCAACTAGGAATAATATATGGACTTCTAAAAATATATTTGGACCCTTTTAAGAGTTCAAGAGTATGGACAATCTATAAGAACGAGTTAATAAGTTGTTCATTTTTAGCTTTACACACAGAGTAACCTGAAGATATTAATATATTTGTCATTGATATAAAGTCTGTTTACTCTTTGTAATATTACAGTTTTCTTTACCATAATCTATCTAATTCCAAAGGATATTTTCTAAATGACTAAGAACTGGCTGGAAATCGGCCGCTGTTGTATTAAGCTTCTCCGTATACCATACTGTCATCGAATTATTGAGTTGAAGCCGTTTGTCCAGATGTAGTGGGTCAATTATTTTCTTTCAAATATTATAGTTTACATCATAGAATACTGATGTTAGCTAGACACTCAGTGAAAACCATTTAGCACTGGACATAGATTTCGTTCTAGTATGGGACTCGTCAGCACTAAGCATTCATTGACCTATCATGGATCGAACCCCAGATCTTCAAGAATCTAGTCATTAAAAACAGATACGTTTTAACTATTTTATCAATTCCAGCAACAGTAATAATGATTATCAATAATGACTAGCAACAAAACAAATAGGTTGCGTGTTTACTTCCTTAAAATTCACAGCTGGTAAGGATATTGAGGTTCAAATCTTAATGTGAAAATCACACCAATGGTAAATTCTGATGCAGCGTCCCAAAAACCAAAAAAAATTAAGCGTACATTCCAAATTCCACTGATGGTTAGCATTGAAAAAAGAAACATGTTAACAGTGGTAACTATGAGGAGTTATTGAGGCATCTACTCAAATAGTCCATAAACCAACATAAAGCAAACTAATGTGGTTCTAAGTATCAATAGTCGGCAAAAAACATAAACTCTTATGCAGTAGATATTCAAGTTATAATATACATTATTATTACCTATTTACTACTTACCATTTAACAACCATTTCTGAAGCACCTTTAGTAAACAATAAAAATGACATTGGATTATCTGATTCTTTAATAACTGTACTCATGGATTTACGTATTGAATTAAATGTGTACACTTTATATAAACGTTCTTCACTCCATTGTGTACGTATATCTTCATAGCTACGTCCAATAGATTTGACAAAACCTAATAAAGCACATTCTGTTTTATTTCCAACTTGTTTAGGTAAAGCATTTGGAATATCGGGAGGCTAAAAACAAAAAAAAAAAGAAGAGAAAAACAGACATAAAAAGAATATGATACCTTCACAGTGAGTATCTGTTATATACCTATAAGCATAATGAATGGTAACTTTTGGGATCCATTTATGGACCAATACTAAACGTATACTTTTATCGTATAATTGTTAAATAACTAAACTATACATATCCATATCCCTCTTATTATGAGCTTTATTTTGACCTATGAACTGTTATTATACGATTTACTCTTCTTGAATTATGCCTTGTCTATTAATTACTATCTCCCATATTCACAGCCTCTTTTGGTTAGATCTTGTACAAATGTTGTTTTCTATTTTATTGGTATGATTTGGTCTGTCTGGTTGGTATATAAACTCAGTATGCTTGACATAAATGATTCATATCGCAGAGGCTGAGATTTGCGTTCTGGACTTAAGTAGCTGGGCTAGGCAGGAAGCAGGACCGATAAGTAATCTAGACTGCTCGTACGGGTTTTATGCGTCCTTCGTCCGATAGATAATTCACTGCTCTTTAATTGGCGGTATCATTAAGTTATTAAACTAACAGGGCACATAGGTTACAAATTATAACAGTATCAGAAAAAATTATCTAAGAGTCTCTTCTTAAGGTTGATCTAGTTTATACTGATAATAACATTATATGAATGTGACATGATATCAAGAGATGATTAGGAATTGTTGTTAAGTAGATTAAGTGTAGTACTACTAAAAGGACTGCTCAAACTTCTGGGAAACTATTTTGTAACCAGAAAATTTTCAGTTTTAGATGTGTTTTTTTATTTTTATTTTCTATTAACTATATTTGGTGTTGTTTTACTTGTATTTTCCCATTGTTATTTAGAACTGCAATTGATCAGTCTCATGTTGGCATATGTGCATCATGTGTGGATTGCCTCGATATAGTCTTAGGTCACAAGCGTTTTAAGCAAAGATGGATAGTGGCTAGCAGCGGAACCCAGTTTGACACGCGTTTCATCCTATTTGGGACTCGTCAGCTGGATGTACCTGCATCCCATAGTTGATGATCACTCCGGGACTCGAACCACATTGCACAAGCAGGTGGCTATCAGGACTCAGTAGCTAAGTGGATAACGCGATGGCGTTTGAGGCGAACGGCACTGGGTTCGAGTCCCGGGGCGAACATCAATTCTGGAATATAAGTATATATAACTGGCAAGTCCCGGATAAGAAGAAATGTACTAGCCACCATCCATCTCTGCCCATAAATAACAATACTATTGTTATTGGATCAGTCTCTAAAATTGATTAGTGATGTAAATGATCTTTCAAATTGAAATAAACTGTACAAATCTATTATTTTAATTATGAATAATCATTACAAGAAGTTGTGATATAGATGAACTTGACACTGATTGTACAAAGTTTATTGATTTCAACTTCAAACTTTAACCAAAACTTATGAAAAAGATTTAAACCTCATGGTTTATTTTGTTTCATAGGTGAATGAGTACATCATTGATAGGACGAGATAAAAAAGGAAGATAAAATTACATTTTCAACTCATTGTAACTATTCATTCAACATTACTTCCGTTTTTAATTTAATATAAGGTTATCCAGGGTAATATATTCACTTTAACATTGATTTACTCCTAATATTTATTTACTTATTTCAAGTCGAATGATTTGTGTGAGGGCTGGAATACTACCTAGTTGTACAAACAGAAACAAGTGATCTTATTAAAGGTTCATTCCTTGAGCCTTCGATTTAAAGGTCTATTCCACAAGAAAGTGGAGCAACGTCAGAAGATGCAGTCTCATGGTAGCCAGTGACCAAGCACACGTTCATATGCCATATGTTTCTTCGGGATCTTGGAGACCATGTGCATCATTAGTTTGAAAGTAGGGTTTCTTAACACTCCTAAGTGGATCCTCTATATCCACCGACTTGGTGCAAGCTCCGGATATTCGCTTCTCGTCCTCTCAATTTCGTAAACAGCATCCCAGGTGCGAGAAGGCAATGAGTAGGACTTCCCTGTCAGTGGCTGTATACGCGTGGCCATGTGAGAGCATTTCGAGAGGGAGAGCGGACTCTCCTCACCCTCGGCCATACCAGGGCATTTGGGAGCTTGATTTACTTCAGTGTGATGTTTATTCGAGACTTGATATTCTTTGTATTAAGTTAACGTGAACTATATTCAACATGATATCCAGCATGTGATTCTTTATAATTCTAAACATTTTCCATACATGTAACCTGTTACTAACCAACAATCAAAATGAGTATACAAATCAACATATAAGTCAATGTATTCTTGACTAGGGTTATCGTTGTATTTTCTAGGTGGTGATTAAACCTTCACTTGTATGAGTCTTTGTGTTCTTACTTCTTGTCGTGGGAATATCAATGGTTCATCGTTTTTAGAAGTATAATTAATAAATGACGCTTAATTACTATCATGAAATTGGTTTCCAGATTGTCTCTCTGAATAAAAAATATATTTAATACAACATAACTAATAAAAAAAAATAGCACTGGAAGCAGTATTATTAAAAGTCAATGATACAATCACTTCGAAATTGATCATACTTAACTAATTTTGTAGAGGTTTGGACCCCCCCCCGTCCCGTCGCTACTGCTCGATCAGCTAAAGTTTTGAAAATCAGACGTTATGTTTAGATCTATCAAAACATTTGAATTTACATCAAATGCAAAAATGATTTAGATCAACTGAGTTACATATTATGGTTCACAGCCTGTTATAATTACTAGAAAAAGCCATTGAAAATTGGATCGATCAGTCACTCACTCAGTCATGATCAACTTAGGGGCTTGATATAAATTCGGATCAATTCAAGTTACCATACTACAACTTTTGACGACTTGATCGAATATCCGGATTACCCGTTCCTGTCATCTAGATATTTCAACAAGTTATCTGTTTTCTTATGTCTATTAATCGCATAAACTATTCATATGCGTTTATGAAAAGTTTACGACCTTTCATTGTACAAGTTACAAAAAAGTACAATCCGAGAAATCGGGGTGACTGGCAATATGCATTGAAAAGAATGAACATTATCCAGATGTTGATTTCTGAACTGCTAACATCCAATTGGCTATCATTCATTATAATATCGTCAGGATCGATCAAAAAATAAGAAAAGGAAACTTGCTGAAATACTTTGTGCTGAGAAAGTAAAGCTCATTTTATAAATCTCATCTTTTCTTTTTAGGGTTTGAAAGTACGGATTTCTGGGGTCTAGAAACTGGTTACAAAGTCCATGGCTAAATATTTATGTGTCAGATTACCAATAATGTTTCTTGTCTTGTTTCGCTTTATTTAACATCGATAAAGAAAAAAAAGAATACTACTACTACTAACAACAACAACAACATCATAGTTGCTTACCAAAAGTTTCGATGTATATCCACTATTGATGGATATATTCATTACTATGAGATTGATGATAGATTCTGGTAATTCTGAAGCTGTCGGTATACGTTTATAATGTTTATTACCAACAAAACATTGAACAGCTGTCATACGATTTGTAGTTAATGTACCAGTTTTGTCTGAACAAATCGCTGTTGCATTGCCCATTGTTTCACATGCATCTAAATGTCGAACTAGATTATTATCCTGCAAAACAAAAAGAAAAGAGGGAAGAGATCAGTGGGGGGAATAAAGTAGAAATGAACAGGTGGAAAAATATAACCATAGTCGATCACTTTCATCACACACTGATATTACACTTGAGAATGGACAACTGAAAAATCAATGTTCTTTGAAAAGTTTTCGATTTATGCATACCATTTTGCAGCAGTTCACACCCACAGTCTAGTCAGTGGAGTTCAAACTTAAAACCTTTTAATCTCTTACAATGATCACTTAACCATCAGATAATTTAATGTTTTAATCCAATGGTTTATATTTTCAATTATGTTTAATTTGTGAGCTGAAATATTGTTACGAAATGAGTCCTTGACACTCCAGTGGAAACTTGCACTTGAATGAGTTCAACAATCTTGCGAAAGAGACAATCAATACAAATGATATGGAATGATCTTGTGTTATATGGTGAGTTGATTGAATTTAGTAATAATGGTTATTAGATTTTGACTAAGTATCTTAAGAGGTGAGGCATAGGCCTCATGACCTACAATGTCAAATATTCGATTCTTGGTGTACTCTGAGGTGGAAACGTCCTATGCTAAAATGCAATATCTGTTCATTACTGTGCAATTCTTAATGATACATTCAATCTTAGATTTGTCATTTTAGGTGTGTTGATACTAAGTGTAACATCTATACTTTCTCCTACTTAGGGATTTGTGCATTAATTATAACGACTGAACTTATTAACAATATATCTAGACTTTCATATAATGGAACGATAATGATGACTGATATTCAATAAAGGTAGTATTGAAGTTGATCTACATTTCACCGAGTCACTTCTATGATTCTTTTTGGAAAATAAAACAACTCGTAAATATCAGAAGGGTTTTTTGTGTGGATATTATAGCAATTTCAATAGTTGAAATCATGAATCAATTGAATCTAGACCACCGTGGGACTCCTCAGCAGTGCGCATCCACGATCCCACCTGGAGAGATTCGAACTCACATTAGGACGAAACGGCCATTCAGTGCTTGTAGTTTTTCCATGGTAGTCTAACTCATGATCTCAACTATTAAAATTACTATGATATCCAGAAAACCCTTTCTGAAATCGAATTATAGTTTGACTATTATCGAGTTGTAAACTCTTAAATATTTCTAAATTTAGTTAAAAGACTATTGTGAATAATGCTTATCAGTTTAGAGTTGTGGAGATTATTAAGTTTTTGATTGAGATCATGAACTGATTAATGTTAGACGACCACTGAAAACTCGGAAGCACTGGATGGCCGTTTCGTCCTATTATGGGACTCCTAATCAGTGCACATCCACGATCCCGCCCCCATGAGATTCCAATCCAGAATCCATCAGTCTCGCGCGCGAGCGCCTAACCACCAGACCAGTAAACCGGCATCTAACACTGTTAATGTCTAACTTCAAATAATGCACGAAATTGAGCGACACATTCACCATTCTCATCAGTGAGTTACTATCTCACAACTGATCCGGTTGATCTCCACTGGTCATTGTTTTTCACTAGAACTCCAGGATATACCTCTTGAAACCAGTCACTAGTAAGCATATGTTGATTAGTATCACAAAGCGGTTTTGTGGATATATTATAGTAATTTCAATAGTTCAGATCATGAGTCAATTGAAGTTAGGCCACCATGGAAAACCTGGAAGTACTCGTACTCTTTTTTTTTTTTTTGAAAAAAAGAAAGAACGAACATTTTATAGACTAAGGACAAATCACTTCAACTAACAATACAATATTTATACATAAAATTTAATCGATAAATGAAGTATTCAATTGTAGTAAAATATAAAGTATTCAACTTGACTAGTAACACAAATTTATCACTGTGTGTGTGTGTATGTGCGTATGTGGGTTATTTTCGAGAAAAAAAAAGGAAAAAAAAAGAAAGAAAAACGAAGGTGTACAGTTTTCCTGATCTTGACAAGAAAATGTAAAACACACACACACACACACACAAGTAATTTTATAAATTTCATTAAAGTTCATGTTTAACGATCCGTTTTTTTTTGTGTATAAACATCACTAAAAATCCATTAAAATTAGTTTTAGTTGTCATTGTATGAAACTAGACAAATATTGAAAATGAAAGAAATATTAGAGTTGATCTAAGTTAAAGCATTATTGAAAACATGAAAGCAATAGACGATCATTTCGTTCTAGCTTAAATTAATTCATGAGTTCAATCTTGACAAATCCCTATTCTGATAATAATCATATGTTCAATAATGACTAATTTCAAGATGGATTACTTGGAGTTTATCGTGAGAAACCGTGACCAGTGGAGTTAATCCATGCCGGATGGAGACAGTTATCTACCTCAGATAATGGATGAAGGGTTAGGTAAATTCATGGATCAATTGGAGTTAGACATTAACACCGTTGGATTCAAGCGCAGTGGTATAGAGATTAAGTGTTCGCGCACGAGACCGAAGGTCCCGGTTTTGAACCCTGTGTGTCATATCGTGAATGTGTACTGTTGAGGAGTCCCATACTAGGATGAAACGGTCTTCCAGTGCCTCCAGGTTTTCAATGGTCATCAAACTTAGACTGAATCATCAATTCAAATGTTAAAATTAATACAATCTCCACAAAATCCCTGTTCTAAATATTAGATAGTTGTTTTATGAAAATCTAACAAATAGGCATCTACTGACCACCACCGAGGATCGACTTCATGATTTACATCAAGTTTATCGAAGACCGTTGCTTCTACCTTGAAGTGGTGATCGGGATTGCCTATCGTGATGAATCAATAGTTATACTTACTGGAACAATCCTTCCTCAAGGTCCTACCATGCCAGTCAGACTAATAGCAGCAAACCCAAGGTTCGAAGGCGAAGTTGTACTGCAGACTAAACAGAGGTGTGACAGCAGTAAGGTGTTTCCTTTAGACAACCAGCATAACAACGATGCTGCCTTCTCACAAAGGAAGGGTGGGCTTAGAAAAGGTTGACCCTAAAAATCCACTCCTCGCCTTATCCCACGGATATCCACCTCCGGTGGTACGGTCTGAACAAGTACGGAGCTAACACAAAAATTACTCACAAAAAGGTCGTGTGTGATCAGTTTCAAGCAGTTGTCTCTTGGGTACTGTGGTCACACTCTCAGGTCACTAAGACCACCTCTAATCCAAGTTCCTTTTCATGTACGTACCTCTAGAAGAACCCTTCCACGGTGTGGGCAACCGGCCTCATACTTCTAACAGTACTCAAGATCACTATATATGAAATCAAATCCAAGATTTTCAAATATCACGGTAACAGTTATTAAGTCTTAGGTACAATAACTCATTATTAACCTTTTTATCCAATTAACAAATACTATCAGTGCTAAAAAGAAACCACACTTTAAGCCAATTATCTGAAAGAAGAAAACTATCTGTTCTATTCATCAATATCATATACTACAAAGTGAATGTCAATCAGTCAGCTACAACGTAGGACCCGGCACATATATGCATCGATCCAAGTTGTCATACCCCATTAGCACAACAAGATAAATACCGGATTCATAGAAGTAGTCAATTCAATGATAGTAATATATAAAAGAAAGATTGCACATAAGGACATAGTACAGAAGTGTATTGATGTGCAAGTAGAACATACAATAAATGAATGAATAAGTAAATATTCAACGATAATAATGAAAGCAAAAAATTTACGCTACATTTTTCTATATCATCAAACTGCAACACGAGGCAAGCCCTAACTTGGAATCCTGAAAGGAAGCAGAAAAGAGAAAGGCCAAAGAACACATTACGTCGAGAAATAGAAGCAGATATGAAAAGGATGAATAATAACTGGATTGTCCAGGACAAAGGGTTGGATGGCGAGTGCTGGTGAGTGGCTTATGCTCCTTCACGAGGAGTAACAGGTAGAGATGATGATGATTAGTATTATTATTCAATCTCTTCTATCTGACACAATAATTAAATCTAATATTTTTTATTTAGTAAAGTTGGATTAAATTACAACAATAAACAAACTTGATTGACACTTAATAAATGATAAGCAAGAGAATATACGTTGCGTGTTTATGTTCGGTAAGTCTTAGATTAGAAATAGATGATAATTTAAAATGATGGAGGCATATATATATTGAATTTATGTGTAGTGCAAAAGATAAGTAGGGGGGGGGTATCCGAATCTTTTAATAACTTGTATACAAGATAAATGACAGATATCATATTTGTTGAGATGGGAACAAATTAAGATATAGAAATAGAGAAGAGAAAGATTGAATAGTGAAATAATTAACCCTATTTAATTACCAACCTATTTTTTTTCTGTTTACTTAATAGTCAATCTAAATTTATTGATCCAATCTCTATTGAGAACGAAAATTCACAGTCACACTTTAAGTATATTTTTTCATTGTGAAAATTATTGAATTTATTATTTAGATATCACGGAATGATAATAAATCGTCACATGGTCGTCAGTGAAGACTAGGAGGTATTGTATAGATGTATAGTTCTAGTTCAGAACTCTTCAGCAGTGTGCATTCATGACCTCACAGAGGATCGTATCCAGGGCATTGAAATCATTAAATTCGGACTCAGTGGTTTGTGAACCAATTCTAAATAGTAACTAAGTATTATAAAGCCAATTCTATAGATTATTTGAAAAGATTTATCTATGATACAGTTTTCATCATGGATCGACATTAGCTTGAGAGAAGGAATACTGAAAATCGTGAGAGTGACCTCATTAGAAACTGACTTATATATTTATTTGAACACATAAATATTGGTACAAAGAGAAACCGAATAAATATATACGCCACAAAAGTCACTTGATTTGTGTATGGGCTGTGATACTACCCGAGTGCCCAAACCGAAGCAGGTTGTTTTCTTAGGGAGGCCCCACCCAGAACCTTCGAATTAAAGGTCAGTGGAGCAACGTCAGAAGATGCAGTCCTATGGTAGTCGGTGATCAATAATTGGTTCATACGTCATTTGTTCTTTCAGGATCCTAGAG